TTCAGATTTGATGGAGAAATCAAAAGCTTCACAGAAAAACAAAAGCTAAAAGAATTCAGTGCACTTCCAAACACTTTTACAACAAATGTTAAAGAAACTTCTCTAGTCCTCAAAGCACAAGGAAAGAGAACAAAAAGAAGAAGAAAGAAAAAAAGACCTACAAAACCAAACCCAAAACAGTTAACCAAATGGCAATAAGAACATAGTTACTGATAATTATCTTAAGTAAATGGATTAAATGCTCCAACCAAAAGACATAGACTGGCTGAATGGATACAAAAAACAAGACCTGTATATATGCTGTCTTGAATAGACCCACTTCAGGGCTAGAGACACATGCTGGCTGAAAGTAAGGGGATGGAAAAAGATATCCCATGCAAACAGAAGGCAAAAGAAAGCTGAAGTAGCAACACTATATCTGACAAAATAGATTTTAAAATAAAGACTGTTACAAGAGACAATGAAGGACACTACATAATGCATAATGCTTAAGGGGTCAATCCAAGAAGAATATATAACAACTGTAAGCATATATGCACCCAACATAGGAGCACCTCAATATATAAGGCAATTGTGGACAAACATAAAAAGAGAAATTGACCATAACACCGTAACAGTGGGGGACCCTAACATCCCACTTACATCAATGGACCAATCATCCAGACAGAAAATCAGTAAGGAACACAGGCCCTAAATATCACATTAGCCCAGAAGGACTTAATTGATATCTACAGGGCACTCAATCCAAAAGCAACAGAATACACATTCTTCTCAAGTGCACAAGGAACATTCTCCAGAATAGATCACATACTAGCCCACAAAGCAAGCTTTGGTAAATTAAAGAAAACTGAAATTGCACAAACATCTTTTCTGACCACAATGCTATAAGGTTAGAAATCAACTACAAGAAAAAAACCCCAGCAAAACCTGCAAACATGCAGAAGATAAACAATATGCTACTAAACAACCAATGGATCACTGAAGAAATCAAAGAGGAAATCAAAAAATACTTTGAGACAAATGAAAATGAAAACACAATGATCCAAAACCTCTGGGATGCAGAAAAAGCAGTTCTCAGAGGGAAGTTTATAGCAACATAAGCCTACCTCAGGAAATAAGAAAAATCTCAGTAAAGCAGCTAGAGACAGAAAAACAAACAAACCCCGAAGTTAGTAAATGAAAAGAAATTGTAAAGATTAGAGAAGAAATAAATAAAGTAGAGACTAAAAAAGCAATAGAATATATCAATGAAAACCAAAAGCTGGTTCTTTGAACAGATAAGCAAAATTGATAATCCTTTAGTCAGACTCACCAAGAAAAAAAAAAGAGAGGGCTCAAATTAATAAAATCAGAAATAAAAAAGAAGTTACAACTAACACCACAGAAATAAAAGGTAACATGAGAGGCTAGTGTGAGCAACTATATAACAACAAAGAGGACAATGTAGAAGAAACAGACAATTTCTTAGAAAAGTACAATTTGCCAAGACTAAACCAGAAAGAAGTGGACAATATGAGTAGACCAATTATCAGTAGTGAAATTGAATCACTAATTTAAAACTTCCCAACAAACAAAATTCCAGGACCAGATGGCTTCTCAGGTGATTTCTACCAAACATTTAGAAAAGAGTTAACACCTATCCTTCTGAAACTATTCCAAAAAATTGCAGAGGAAGGAACCCTTCCAAACAAAAATCCTTAACAAAATACTAGCAAATTGACTCCAACAATGCATTAAAAGGATCATTTACACACCATGATCAAGTGGGATTTATCCCAGGGATGCAAGGATCAATATTCACAAGTCAATCAATGTGATACACCACAGTAACAAATTGTAGAATAAAAACCATATGATCATCTCAATAGATCCAGGAAAAGCTTTTGATAAAATTCCACATCCATTTCTGATTAAAAAAAAAAAACCTCTCCAGAAAGTGGTCATAGACAGAACATACTTCAACATAACAAAGGCCATATATGACAAACCCACAGCTAACATACTTAACGGGAAAAGCTAAAGCATTTCCTCTAAGATTAGGAACAAGACAAGGATGCCCACTCTCACCACTTGTATTCAACATAGTCTTGGAAGTCCTAGCTATAGCAATCAGAGTAGAAAAATAAATAAAAGGAATCCAAATTGGAAAGGAAGAAGTAAACTGGTTACTGTTTGCAGATGACATGATACTATACATACAAAACCCTAAAGAAGTGACGAGAAAACTATTAGACCTTATCAGTGAATTTGGTAAAGTTGCAGGATATAAAATTAATATACAGAAACCAGTTGCATTTCTATACACTAATAATGAAATAGCAGAAAAGTAAATTAAAGAAACATACCATTTATCATTGCACCAAAAAGAATAAAATACTAGAAATAAACCTACCCAAGAAGGCAAAAAGTCCTGTACTCTGAAACCGAAAAAACACCTGATGAAGGAAAGTGAAGATGACATAAACAAATGGAATGATATACCATGTTCTTGGATTGGAAGAATCAATATTGCTAAAATGACTATACTACTCAAGGCAATATACAGAGTCAAAGCAGTTCCTATCAAATTACCAACAGTATTCTTCATAGAGCTGGAACAAAAAATGTTAAAATTTGTATGGAAACACAAAAGACCCTAAATAGCCAAAACAATCTTGAGAAAGAAAAACGGAGCTGGGGAATCATGTTCCCTGATTCAGACTATACTGTAAAGCTACAGTAATCAAAACAGTATGGTACTGGCACAAAAACAGACACATAGATCAATGGAACAGGATAGAAAGTCCGGAAATAAACCCACACACTTGTGGTTAATTAACCTACGACCAAGAAGGCAAGAATGTACAATGGAAAAAAGACAGTCTCTTCAATAAGTGGTGCTGGTGAAACTGGACAGCTACTTGTAAAAGGCTAAAATTAGAACACTCTTTAACACCATATACAAAAATAAACTCAAAATGGATTAAAGATTTAAATGTAAAATCAGATACTATAAAACTTCTAGAGGAAAACATAGGCAGAACACTCTCAGACATAAATTATAGCAATAGATTTTTTGAACTAGCTCCTGGAGTAATGGAAATAAAAGCCAAAATAAACAAGTGGGATCTTGTTAAACTTACAGCCTTCTTCACAGCTAAGGATACCATCAACAAAATGAAAAGACAACCTACAGAATGGGAGAAAACAATTGCAAATGAAGCCACTGACAAGAGACTCATTTCCAAAATATGCAAACAGCTCATACACCTTAATGTCAAAACATCAAGCAACGCAATCCAAAAATGGGCAGAAGACCTAAACAAGCAATTCTCCAATGAAAACAAAAAAACGGTCAATAGACACATGAAAAAATGCTTAGTACTGCTAATTGTCAGAGAAATGCAGATCAAAACTACAATAAGATATCACCGCACACAAGTCAGAATGGCCATCCCCGAAAAGCCTACAAATGATAGATGCTGGAGAAGGTGTGGAGAAAGGGAACCCTCCTACACTGTTGGTGGGAGTGTAGCCACTATGGAGGACAGTATGGAGGTTCCTTAGAAAACTAAAATATGTTCCAGTAATCCCACTCCTGGGCATATATGTGGAGAAAAATAAAATTCAAAAAGACACCTGCACCCCAGTGTTCACAGCAACACTATTTATGACAGCTAAGACATGGAAACAATCCAAATGTCCATCAACAAAAGACTGGATAAAGAAGATGGGGTACATATATACAATGGGACACTACTCAGCCATAGAAAAAAAAATACTGCCATTTGCAGCAACATGGATGGACCTGGAGATCATCATTCTAAGTGAAGTGGGCTGGAGAGAGAAAAAAAAATGCCACGTGATATCACTTATAAGTGGAATCCAAAAAAAAGGACAAAAATGTACTACTTATTATTTATAACTTAGATGATTGATTTCTTGACTTGTGTGAGCACCTCTGATTGTCACCTATGATTGGATTACTGCATTCTGTTGATTCTTATTTTGTGGTTGGCTTTATTCCTTTGATAGCTATGTCAGTTTAAAAAGCTAAAGCTCAAAACTGTTCTTAGAAACAATGATTAGTACATAGATGTAAACTAAAAAATATATGCAGTATATTGTATATGTGTATTTACGTGCAATATATTGTATATGCCTAAATTGTAACTATTCTACCTAACAAAACTGAAAAATGAAAAAAAAACCCAAGAATAATCTCAAGTAAACAACCTAACCTATCACCTAAAAAAAAAAGATATCAACTTGAAATCTCCAGGCCAGGTGATAGACTGAATAATAAACCATTAGAAGCATTTCCATTAAAATACAAACCAAGGAGACCTAGCCACATTTCCACTAGAGTTTCCATCCATTGCAATAATACTAAAAAAAAGAAATAAAACATTAAATGTAGGAAAGAAAGTGGTCAAACAATCTTTACTTGAAGAAAATATGATATAAAAATCTAGAACAATTACATAATCAACTGATAAACTATTAAAAATGAGTCCTTTATGCGGGCGGGAAGCATGATCAATGTGCAGAAATCAACAGCTATGACTGATTAGCAAATGCAATTAAAAACAATCATTTAATTAATCATAGAAATTCTAAAGTATACAGATAAAAAAACCTAAAAAGAAGATGCAAAGCCTTTATAGAGATAATAGAATAACTAATACATTTTTAATAGGTTAAAACATATTATTTCTAAGGGGAATTTAAAATCTTAAGAACAACTTAAGAAATGCTTGGAAATTTGTGTTCTTGGTATACCAAATATTAATTCCATACTCAGGGTAGATATAACTATTTTCCTGTATACAACAAAGCCAACCAGGGATAAAACAAAACTACATTGAGAAACAAACAGTGATTAATGGATGAGGGTTCCAGTTCTCAGACACCTGCAACCCCTTAATGGACAGAACATGTTCTCTCCTGTAGTGTCATAAAAGCATCATTCTTTCCACAAACTCCAACAAAGGGACTGACCCCGCACTTTGTTTTCTTACCTTGTTGGGAGATGAATCCCCATCCTGTCGCCCAGCAAGAAAGGTTCCAAAGTTTCACGTCTGTGGGTGCAATGCAGACGGGACGCACAGAGTCGGAAAGCACAATGCGGCTTTTCAGCTGCACCAGAGCGATGTCGCCTCCGACAGGGTGGTATAATTTGTGTGTGGGATGCAGGATCACCTTATGCACCTCAAACCACTGAGTATGACTGCCTGGCACCCTGAGGTCCACAAGGCCCACATATACATCAAATGCCTCAATGTTCCTTTCCCTGTGGGGACAGAGGACAAAGGTACAGTGGCTTGAGCACCTTGCACGTGGAGAGAACCACCACCTTCAGCTCACAGGCCAACGATGTCCTGGAGCATGCCCACCTGGGTATCGAAGGTCTCAGCCAGGCTGGGGGAAAGCGAGCCCTTTGCAGCACAGTGGGGAGCTGACTGTCAGGCAGAATTGCCCCCAGAGAAGTCCTGACTTGAGTCCACGGAGGACTAAGGGAACCACCAGGACCTGATGGACAGCCCAGGATGGTGATCTTGGCAGAATTACAGTGAGCTGCCCGTCAAGATAAGTCTTTCGCCACCTCTAAGCCTGTGAGTTTTCTTTTTCTCTCCCCTCATCCTATGGTGTGGCTCCTCTCCTCACTTCCCATCCTATGATTTGGTTCCACATCTATCTGGAAGAGTGGATGGCCCTAAAGGGGGCCCTCAGCCCTGTGCAAGAAGAGGCTGCAGTGGATGGAGGTGTGCTGGCTCCCACTCTCTCCCCCAGCGCCAAGAAGCCCCAGCCCCAGGTAGCCTGTGTGGCGGGTCCTGCAGCCCTAGACCTCCAAGGGAACAGTCCCCAGCGCTACCCACTCACCTGGCAAAGCAGTGGGCTGCGGACAGGACCCAATACTCATCAATGATGGACCCACCACATGTGTGGAAACCTGCATAGTGCAGGCTGACCTGCCATGGCCACTTTTTCTCAGGGGCGTCCGTGCCTCCCACGACCTTCCCCTGCACGTCACGCTGGCCACAGGCTGAAGAGAGAGGGGCAAAGTATAAAGTAGCAGTGGCGCCCGGGAAGTGGAGGGTGGGTCGGGTGGGAGGAGGGGAACGTCGGGGAGGGCCGAGATGGACTCGCGCTCCACCCTTGGAAGGAGGGAGCCCTGGGTTCACCGCCAACCCGGGCCTGGCGAGGGCCTACCTACACCACGGCTCCAGGCGATCCCCTCCGTGAGAGCGTGCCTGTGGGCCG